ATCATTTACTAATCTTTATAAATTACACAAACCTCTTTAACTTTGCCTATTCTGTATATTTCATATAAATAGAACCAGAGAAATGGAATTATATATAATGAGCCTTTTGTGGATAGCTTCTTTCAGTGTCATGTTTTAAAGATTCATCTATGTTTTAGCATATATCAGTGCTTCATTTTTTATTACCAATAATTCCCCATTGTATGGCTATATCATATATACATATTAATTTTTATTTTTATTTTATTTGTTTCATGAAAGAGAAATATGGAGGTAAAAATAGGAGTACCCTCAACAGAGTCTTCACTCTGCTGTGTACCTCGAACCAGCCCAGATCAAAGGCACTCATGCATGCTTGGCATGTACAGGGAGATCTCTGGATCCAATGCTAAGACCTTCCTATGTGGGTCCAGCATCACAGGATATTCATTACTGCTGCTCCACCACTACTAGCCTGGATATACCATATTTATTTATTCATCAGTTGATGGATATAGATTTGTATTTTTTTAAAGAATTATTTTATTTAATTTCATTTATTTATTTATTTAAACTTGACCAGAGAGGGACTGAGAGAGAGAGAAAGCAGGCTCCCAGGTTCGGGACTCAAACTTTAGTTGACTGTGGGGGAGTCCATCGCCCTTAACCACCACACCACCTGCTGGCCCTAGATTTGTATATTTTGAATATCATTATGAAATCAGAGATTTTTTTATGTATTTAAAATTTTTTTTGCTATAGAGTGCATATGCTCCCTGGAGAGAGATAGACACAGAGGTAGAGACAGAAAACGAGAAAGCACACCCCAAGAGGATGACCATATCATAATCCCTTCTCCATTCTCTTCTTGGGATGTTTGGGCACACATACACATGTGCCTGGTGTGTTTTTCAAGCTATGTGGCTATAGGGTGCATGTGCTTAGCATGCCCAGAATCCCAAGAGGAGAGAGAATATGGGAGAAGGGATTGTGGTATGTATGGTCATCTTCCCTCGGGGGGTGATTTCTCACTTTCTGTCTCTCTGTCTCTTTCTGTCTTTCTGATGAGCACACACGCTATAGTAAGAATCTCTAAAAAAAATAAATAAATAAAACTTTTCTAGGGGCCAGGCGGTGGCATGATGATAAAGGCGCTGGACTCCCACATGGCCTACTGTGGTTTGAGCCCTGGACCCAGTGGCTTGAAAGTCATGCCAGGTGCCTGTGTGTGCATGCAAGCCTGAAATCCCAAGAGGAGAATGGAGAAGGGATTGCGATGTGGTCATCCTCCCTGGTTGGGTGATTTCTCACTTTCTCTCTCTGTATCTCTCTGGCTTACACATACTCCCTAGAACAAAAAAAAAATCTCTCTCAAAAAAATTCTTTTCTAACTTTCTACTATGAAAAAATTTAAACATACAGAGAAGTTGAATGATTAGTGAACTCCTCTACCTACCACCTAGATTTAGCAATTGTTATTCTGTATTATATACATATAAATATGTGTGTATAAAACTATTTGATAATAACTTGCAAACATTTGACAGCTTATTCCTGAAACTTAAATATGAATTTTCTGTAAGTAAGGACATTTTCCTATACAACCATAATATAATTAATATATAAGACAGTTAATTCCCTAAAATATTCTAATACCTGATTCTTACTTAATTCTGTAGTGGTCCATAAAATATCTTTTGTAGATGATATTTCTTAATCAAAATTCAGTCAAGTCTCAAAGATTGTGCTTTTAGTCTTTTTTAATTTAGATAAGGTTCTGCACACTGTGGCATGGTCTGCCATCTTGCTTCCGTAAATAAAGGTTTATCAGAACACAGCCATACTTATTTCTACTGTCTGTGGTTGCTTTCACACTGTAGCCACAGAGTTAGGTAGTTGCAACAGAGACCATCTGGCCTCCAAAGCCTAAAATATTTACTCTATGGACCTTTAGAGAAGTTTATGGACTTCTGATTTTAGAACATTAGGGCACTTCTTACTTTTTCAGGTTTTTCCATGGCATCATATTTTAGAATTGACTAGGCAAGTTGCTTTGTAGAATGTCTTACACACTAGTATGTCTAATTTTTTTCCCTCCTGATCTTTTAATATTTTTCTTCTATCTCTTAAATTATCTGTAGACTGGATATTAGGTCTAGAGGCTTGTTTTTCAGGGTTAGTTTTTTTTGTTTGTTTATTTGTTTTTCCAAGAATATTGATAATGGTTGCTTACTTTCTGTTGTATCACATCATGAAGTTTCTAATATCTGGATACCCCTCTTGGTGATACTAAGATCAGTCACACATTCAGCCTTACTCTCCATTATGCAGTTTTACATCACTCTTTTCCCTATGTGGTTTGGCATCCATTGATGATCGTTGCCTAGGTCTACTATTTCATAAAGAGTTATAAAATAATTTCTCCCCCAATAAAGAACAACTTTCCCTCAACAGCTCTTACTAACTTCCACCATCATGAATTGGTACCTTAGCAGGCTTCAGTGGCAAGTGGTTTATTTTGTATATAGATACATGTATGTTCATGTATGTTTATTGACAGTTTTGTTGAAGTATAATTCTTACAGTACTACAATTTATCAACTCAAAATGTATAGTTCAGTAGTTGTTAGCGCATTCACAGAGTTGTACAGTCACCCAAAAAAACCCCTGTGCCCATTAGCAGTCACTCTCTGCCTCTCCAACTCCCTTAGCACTACAGAATCACTCCATCATTTACTAATCTTTATAAATTACACAAACCTCTTTAACTTTGCCTATTCTGTATATTTCATATAAATAGAACCAGAGAAATGGAATTATATATAATGAGCCTTTTGTGGATAGCTTCTTTCAGTGTCATGTTTTAAAGATTCATCTATGTTTTAGCATATATCAGTGCTTCATTTTTTATTACCAATAATTCCCCATTGTATGGCTATATCATATATACATATTAATTTTTATTTTTATTTTATTTGTTTCATGAAAGAGAAATATGGAGGTAAAAATAGGAGTACCCTCAACAGAGTCTTCACTCTGCTGTGTACCTCGAACCAGCCCAGATCAAAGGCACTCATGCATGCTTGGCATGTACAGGGAGATCTCTGGATCCAATGCTAAGACCTTCCTATGTGGGTCCAGCATCACAGGATATTCATTACTGCTGCTCCACCACTACTAGCCTGGATATACCATATTTATTTATTCATCAGTTGATGGATATAGATTTGTATTTTTTTAAAGAATTATTTTATTTAATTTCATTTATTTATTTATTTAAACTTGACCAGAGAGGGACTGAGAGAGAGAGAAAGCAGGCTCCCAGGTTCGGGACTCAAACTTTAGTTGACTGTGGGGGAGTCCATCGCCCTTAACCACCACACCACCTGCTGGCCCTAGATTTGTATATTTTGAATATCATTATGAAATCAGAGATTTTTTTATGTATTTAAAATTTTTTTTGCTATAGAGTGCATATGCTCCCTGGAGAGAGATAGACACAGAGGTAGAGACAGAAAACGAGAAAGCACACCCCAAGAGGATGACCATATCATAATCCCTTCTCCATTCTCTTCTTGGGATGTTTGGGCACACATACACATGTGCCTGGTGTGTTTTTCAAGCTGCTAGTTCCAGGACTCAAACCATGCAGTTGGCCATCCTACAGTTAAGGCAGGAGTCAGCTGCCTTAGCCACCATATCACCAGCTGGCCCAAAACATTTTTTTATATTTTTGATTCATTTTATTTTATGTAGTCATGATTTTTTAAATTTTTTTTTTTTGGGGGGGTGCTCAAATTGTTCCAGCTTAGTCTAGTGAGAACTACTTCATTTATCTCCTGTGTTCTTTGGGGTGTCTGTATGTTCTTAATTCCATTTTTATTCATGAATAGGTTCCAAATTAATCTTTAAAATGTACTTTTTCACCCAGACTTGTAATCGGGTTTTTATCTGACTAGCTCTGATGTATTTTATTGGGAAGTAGTACTTAGAGACCACCATCTTGGCACTTAGATATGCTTGTTGATACTCATTTATTGTGTTAGGCATTTTTTGCTGGACTGACCTAGGAAATTATTTTCTAAAAGAAAAATATGCTGAATTTACACTGATATTTCCCAATAAAATTTAAGTTTTGGGGACCAGCGGGTGGCGTGGTGGTTAAGGTGCTGGACACTCCCTCATGACCAACCATGGTTTGCGTCCCGGACCTGGTGGCTTGCTTTTTCGCTTTCCCTCCCTCTCGCTCTCTGTGTCTCTCTCTTGGCCAACTTAAAATAAATGAATGAATAAATAAAATTAAATAATTCTTTAAGAAAATAAGAAAATTTAAGTTTTAGCTTAGCATTTTAAAATTTGATATCTGTATCTCTTAGAATGCTGAAATTGTGGATTCTTAGTGAAATTAACATTATTGTCTTCGTTTTACAGTGTGCTTATAATATAGATACAGGCAATAAATGTAGTTAAAATTTTATTTTTTTTTTTTCATGAGAGAGAAAGAGAAAGAAAGAAGAGTACCCTTGACAGGGTCTTTCCACACAGAGATCTTTCTTTAAGCTTTCCAACTAGCCAGGCTTCCTCTAAGCCTCCCACCTAGCAAGGTGCCCACTGTGGTCAGGTATACCAACAATCAACTAGGCCTTTCTTGTCTATCTGGTATGGTACAGTAGCACTCTCCTGCCTTTGCCACCATGACTGAGCTAGTAATAATAGTAGTTGAAATGCTATTTTCAATTGCAGGGTCTTCCTGCTTATTTTCATTTCATATTATTCTTAGGCTCACTGTACTTGGAGAAAGATTCATAAGATCTTTTTTATTTATATTTTGTGTTTTCTCTTTTGCTTTCTTTTCTCTTTATCTTTTTAATTTTTTCTGCTTTTATAACATTATTAGAATCAGTTCCTGAATAAAGAGCTATCTTGAATAGTGTATTCCCTCATATTTGATTTTTAAATTGTTCATGTACTCTCAAAGGCTTACTGAAAGTATGGTATTACTGTGATTTAAACAACTACAGGTATCGGGAGGCAATTCAGAAGTGGGACGAAGCACTACAATTAACCCCAAATGATGCTACCCTGTATGAAATGAAATCCCAGGTAATAATTAGGAAGAATTTCACTTTTATTGTAAAATATGCTGTGTTCATTTTGTAAGTGATTATAAAAGAATATACTACTTTCCAGTTTTTGAGAGAAAATATTTTACCATATTTACGGTTCTGCCTTATGCATAAAATTAGACATTTAGTTGCCTTCAAATGAAATTAACTTATTTCACCGTAACTATGGTAGGATATGAGCACGACATATTTTAAAAGTCACAGGTCATCTCTTAAATAAATTAAAAGTGCCTGTTTTCCTTATAAATTAATTGTGATATGCTTAATAATAACTCAGTAGTCAGAATGTGAATGGGTTAAATTCTAGAATGAGATTTCTGTAAAAATGGCCTACTCTTTAGCATCAGAATAGGTCCAATTTATTAATAGCTTAAGAATAACATTTGTAGAACCAGCAGATGGCATAGTGTTTAAGTGTGTGCATATATACTCAAAATCCCAGGAGGAGATTGGAGGAGGGGGAATGCAGCATGACCATTCCCCCTTACTGTCTCTTTCTGGGGAGAGCATGCACCCTATGGCTAAAACCTAAAAAATAAAAAACAAATAAGAATTATCTGTGTATGATTACTTATCAGTTGTTTGCTAGCTTGTAAATGTTACTGACAGTGTTTTGTTTTGTTTTTCTTCTTCTGGAGTATAGGTCCTAATGTCTCTTCATGAAATGTTCCCAGCAGTACATGCAGCAGAAATGGCTGTCCAGCGAAATCCACATTCATGGGAGTCTTGGCAAACTTTGGGACGTGCTCAGCTTGGATTAGGAGAGATAATCCTGGTAAGGAAATTAGATAAAACTTTTGTTAACAGTAGTTTAAATAGAGTGTGGATCATTTAGATTTTTCGGGCATCGTTGGATGTATAGTTTTCAAATATTTTTACCCATTCCATACATTGTTTTCATTGATAGTTTCCTTTGTTGTGCAGAGTTTTTAAACTTGATATAATCATATTTGCTTATTTTTGCTTTTGTGGCTCATGATCTTAGATCTTTCCTAAAAAGTCTTTGTCCATGTCATAGATCATTCTCATAGGCTTTATATTCTAGTAATTTTGTAATTTCAGGTCATACAGTTAAGTCTTTCTTTTTTTTTTTTTTTTCCTAAAAAGAGATTTATGCTGTAGAACCCATGCACTCACCAGAGAGAGAGATATAAAGTGAGAAATCACCCCAGCCATGCCACAATCCCTTCTCCTCTTGGAATCTTTAGCACTCGCACATGTACACCTGGCTTGAGATTTAAGCTGCTGAGTCTGGGATTTGAACCGTGGTTGACCATGTGGGAGTCCAGCGACATAACTATCAAACCATTTGCTGGTCCCCAAACGGTCTAGTCTTTAATCCATTTCTAGAGTAGTATATGATGAAAATTCATTTTTATTCTTTTATATGTGGATATCTAGTTTTTCTAACACTATTTGCTGAAGAGACTATACTTTCATTATTTTGTAGCACATTGTCAAATATCAGTTGACCACTGGCAAGGGTATTTCAAAAGTTCTTGAAATTAAAAAATGGAACTAAAAAAAGTACAAGTTTATTTTAGTACAAAAATTTTTTGAACCCTATGCATAGTTTTTTTTTTGGTTTTTTTTTTAGAGGTTTTTGCTATAGTGTGTGTGCTCTCCAGAAAGACAGATAGAGACAGAGAGAAAGAAAATGAGAAATCACCCCTAGGGGGGATGGCCACGTGCAGTCCCTTCTCCTCCATTCTCCTCTCGGGATCTTGGGCACGCACGCACACACACACGCCTGGTGTGAGTTTAAGCCACCGGGTCTGGCACTCGAACTGTGGTCGACTGCATGGGATTCCAGTGACACAGTCATTACACTAACTGCTATTCCCAAACCTATGCATAGTTTTTTTTTTAATGGTATTCATTTTTCATGAAGTTTCTACATAATTGTGGATTTATTTCTAGGTTGTTTGTTCTGTTCTATTGGTCTGGATTTTTTTTTATACCAGTACATAATTGGGTTTTTATTAGTTATTTTGTAATGTATTTTAAAATCAGGAAGTATTCTTTCTCAAAATTGATCTGACAGATTGAGATCTTTTGTGGCTCCATATGAATTTTAAAATTGGTTTTTCTTTATCTGTAAAAAATACCACTGAAATTTTGACAGAGATTGTGTTGAATCTGTAGAGTGCTTTGAGTAGTAAAGACATTTTAATAATATTATGTTTTCCAATTCATGAACCTGGATGTCTTTACATTTGTTTATGTTTTCTTTAATTTCTTTCAGCATGTTTTGTATTTTTTTGGGATACAAGTTTTCAACTAAGGTGTCCTTAGTTGAGTTTACTACTAATTATTATTTTTTGTGTATAGTATCATAAATGAAATTTTTTTCTAATTTTCTTTTCAGATAATTTGTTGTTACTATATCAAAATACAGCAGATTTTTTGTATAGTGATTTTAAATACTACAAATTTACTGAATTTGTGTATTCTAGCAGTTCTTTTTAATGAAGTCTTCAGGGTTTATAAATTTAGATAGCTTTTGTTTCTTTATTTTTCTTGCTTGAGTTCTCTTGCCAGAACTTATAATACAATCTTCAATAGAAGTGGCAAGAGTAAACATTTTTGCCTTGTTTCTGATCATAGGGGAGAGCTTTCAGGTTTTTTTTTTTTGGAGAGGTTTTTGTTATGGGGCATGTGCGCTCACCAGAAAGAGAGAGACAGAGAGAGAGAGATGGAAAGCGAGAAATCACCCCCCAAGGGGATGGCCACACCACAATCCCTTCTCCTTCATTCTCCTCTCAGGATCTTGGGCACGCATGCACACGAACCCTGTGTGAGTTTCAAGCTACTGGGTTCAGGACTTGAACCACAGTCGACTACATGGGAGTTCAGTGACATAGCCATTACACCAACTGCTGGTCCTGAGAGCTTTCAATTTTTAATCATTCAGTATGATGTTAGCTATGGGCCTTGCATTTATGACTTTTTATTTTTGTTGAAAATTACCTCAGCATCTTTTTGGTGATTATTTTGAATTCTTTGTTAGGTAAATTGTATACTTCTATTTTATGAAATTGATTTCTGAAGGTTTATCTCATTCTTTGTTCGGAACATAATCCTCCTGTTTCTTCTTCCTTGACTCTCTCGTTCGGAGTCTGCACACTCACTCTGTCTCCATGAGTGGGAAAGAATTAGTCTTCAACTTGGTGTTGAGACAACTGGATATCCATGTACAAAAGAATGGAGTCTGACTCCTAACCTGTGTTTAAAAATTAAGTCAAAATTAAACTCTTAAACATAAGAGCTAAAAGCTTAAAAGTATAAAACTCTTAGAAAATGTAGGCATAATTTTTGTGACTTGGATCCATAAATAATATTTTAAGTGTTATTCAGGACACTTGAAGCACAAATAACAAAGAAAAACTAGATAAATTGGACTTCTAAATGAAACACTTCCATGTTTTAATGAATACTGATCAAGAACATGAAAAGAGGTCAGTTTATCACAACTGGGAAAGGGTCCTGTATTGGGACCTGTATAAGTCAGGGATGTTTCTGAACATCCTACAGTATACAGAACAGCTCCCTGAAATAAAGAATTATCAGCCCAAAATGTAAATAGTGTTGAGGTTGATCTCAACCCAGACTGCAGTGGAGTTTTTGTACCTGAGCTATATAACATAGTAAGACTGAGAATTACAGAGTCAAACTGCCTGAGTTTGTACTCCAGTTTTACCATTTCCTTGCTTATTATGCCTTTGGTATTTAATCTCTGCTTTTATAAAATAGAACTGAAAACAGCAACCTAGTGGTATTGTAAAGATAGATAATTGAGTAATGCCTGGAATGTAGAATAGAGCCTACAACTTACTAACCAGTCAGTCAGTGTTAGCATTGTTAAGACTTGGCTTCAAAGGTGTGCTTCCTGTACCTTCCTGACTGTTGTTTAGCTCAGGAAATCCTCAGATTTGTTTATTTGATGGTCTCCAGAAGGTGAAAAATAGATTGGCCCTGTCTTGAACCCCAGTGTCCGTACCTCTATTTCAGTGGCCTTTAATCCATCAGCATATTGTCAGTTATTTTCTTTCATATGTCTATAATTTTTTTCACCATAATTATTATTTACTGGTTAGGGCAAAGCTCTTATCCTCGCCTTTACATTCTGCTACTTTAAATAATATATTAGAGTATGTGTTGTATACACACACAGACATATGATTGTATTAAATGTACTAGTTTTTAAAAACAACACAAATGAAAACTGCTGATTTTTTTCCCCCTAGGCAATTCGTAGTTTTCAAGTAGCCCTTCATATCTATCCAATGAACCCTGAAATATGGAAAGAAGACCTTTCTTGGGCAAGAACACTCCAGGAGCAGCAGAAGGCAGCACAGAGAATTAAGAAGAGTGAAGCACCCCCTGAAGTAACACACTTTTCACCAAAGTCAATTCCTGACTATGACTTTGAAAGTGATGAGATTGTTGCTGTTTGTGCAGCCATTGCTGAAAAACAGAAGACAGATTCGGCAAATAAAACAATGGTTATTGTATCGGCTTCAGGGGCTGTAGAGACCGTAACTGAGAAAGAAGATGGTGCTACCCCACCAGATGGCTCTGATTTCATCAAAGCACGATGAAGCAGTATGCATAGAGGAATGATTTGAATCTTTTGGATTGCCACTGAAAGTTTAGACATAGAGACAGCTTACTCTGGAGGAAGCGGGCAAAACACCTGTTTTGTAAAATAAGTTTTTCAGATGAGGCATATAAAAACTAAATGGTAGACTTATTGTATAGTGTTTATGCATACTTTAATAAGTTATGATTTATACTACTAAAGATTAGAATTCTGAGCAAAATGGATTTTGATTAATAAACTCAATCCACATATGTAAACGAATACATTTTAAAGACAAATTAACCAGTGTATTCTTCAATAGTGAATAAGTGGGTGGTTAGCCTTGTTGATTTTTGTTTTATGATAAAGAAGTAAGTGATTTCTTTCCCACCTAGGATATACTGCTCTTACTATTCCCTCCTCTGTTTTTCTTGCTTCATTAGAGTGAGTGTATCGCAAAGCTTAAATACTTTTGATGTTCATTTTGATTCAAAGTTATTACTTAGTCATGTAGAATCATTGAAAGTTTGGCTTAAAAGGCATTCAGATGTGTATATTCTGAATATTTTCTGAAGTTCCTTAGTCTGATTTGTGCTTTGTTTTGAATTTAAAGTTATGATGATGGTAGTTGTTATCAGTATTTCTATCAGTATTTGTTAGATGTGCAAAAGTACTGATTAACATCAAAATGATGATTTTCTTTTTCTTTTTCTTTTTTTTTTTTTTTTTGGAGAGGTTTTTACTATAGAGCACATGCGCTCACCAGAAAGACAGAGAGACAGAAAGGGAGAAATCACCCCCCAGGGTGGATGGCCATGCTGCAATCCTTTTTCCTCCATTCTCCTCTCAGGATCTTGGCATGAATTTAAGCTACCAGGTCTAGCTAGGATCAGCAACATAGCCATTACGCCAACTGCTGGTCCCTTTTTTATTTTATTTTTTTGTAGCAGGGAGAGACTTGTCCTTGCCACAGTGAATAATTTTTAAAATGGGCATTTTTTTTTTAGATGAGTGGCTTTTATAGATAGCCATTACAAATTATACTGCTATATTACTGTCAAAAGCATTATTTTCTTTTTCTTATTTTAAAAATCTATTTTAAAAACCCTGAAATCAACTTATTTCTTGTTTTGAACTTTGCAGCCAACTGATAATTTGGAATTGCTTTTCTAGATAATATTTTTGGAACTACTCAGTGAAATGAAAAATGACTACAATCTTAAGTAAATAAATTGTATCTTTCTGAAAAGTAAAAAAAAAAAAAAAATAGAGATGTTATTATTAGAGTGCCAGTGAATGAATAATATCATCACAGGATACATAGAAACTGGAATGCGATTATCTGATTTTTTTTTTTTTTAGGAGAAATTTTTGCTATTGGGCATGTGTGCTTATCAGAGAGACAGAGGGAGACAGAAGAACAGAAAGCAAGAAGTCACCTCCCAGGGGGATGACCATGCCATAATCTTTTCTCCTCTCAGGATTTTGAGCTCACATGCACATGCACCCAGCTTGAGTTTAAAGCTACCCGTTTGGGACTTGAATCCTGGTCAACTGTATGAGAATCCAGCGACACAACCATTATGCCATCTGCTGTTCCCTGGAATGTGATTCATAGTACGATCCTATAAGAGGGAAGTGTTAAGTTTCTTTTAATTGAAAGGCCATAATCACATTTTCAAATCAATACTGTCGATGCTAGTGTGAATTATTACTTTTATACTATATATCATAGTACAGTTACATAGATGTGTTGGGTACTGTTCTAATGCTCAGGAAGCTATTAATGGTATAAAATTAATTTTATCTTTGTTAGAATGGAAGTAGACCACATTAAGGAATCTTACATTATATTGTTGAAGCATGTAAGTAATGTTCTGTATTTTTATAAAAATTATTTTAAAAAATCTTTTTATTGAGATACATGGCTTTCTTTTTTTTCCCCCCTAGAGTTAGAGAAATCATCACTTGTCTTGGAAAATATTATGTTTTTTCTCTAAGTTATATTATCAGGAGATTAGCTCTTATTAGAGAGGTCGGTTTTATAGTAAAACTAACAAAAAATATTGATTATTTTGTTGAATAAGGAGTATTCTCAAAGTGTAGGTTGTTCCTAGAGAAGTGAGTACTCAGTATTTGCTGTCATTTGAGTAATGTATGTTTGTTTATGATGTAATGTGTGAATAAATAGTTTTTATGTATTTTGAAGATTTCCTATTATTTTGTGATGTTAGCTTTTGAAAAATTAGATCAATTTTCATTATTTCTTATGTGGAAAGTATATGTAATGCACCTGGCATGGTGCCTCACACATGAAGAACTCTGTGAATCCAAGCTGTATCTATGGAAAAATTGAATTAGTTTAGAGATACTTAACCTTGACTTCTTATTTTAAGAAAGGAGAATTTTGAGACCAGCAGATGGTGTAATGGTTAACGTTGCTGGACTACCATGTAGTTCACCATGGTTTGAGTCCCAGACCCACCAGCTTAAAACTCATGCTGGGTGCGTGTATACCCAAAATCCCGAAGAGAATGGACAAGAAGGGATTGTGGCATGGCCATCCCCCCCCGGGGGGGAGGTGATTTCTCACTTTCTGTCTCTCTTTGCCTCTTTCAAGTGAGTACACATGCCCCAAAGCAAAAATCTCTCTAAAGAAAAAAAGAATTTCATAATCCTTTCCTTGTCTGAAAATGAGAAGTCATTCCTTTTTTTTAGGCTTTTGTCATAGGATGCATATGCTTGCCAGAGAGAGACAGAGAGGGAAGGTGAGAAATCATCCCCTAAGGGTGATGGCTACAATGCAATCCCTTCTGCGTTCCTGTCTAGGGATTTTAGGCTTGTACACATACCCAATGTGATTTTCAAGCCACTGAGTGGTCCAGGCCTCAAACTGCGGTTGACTATGTGAGTCCAGCACTTTACCAGCATGTTACTTGCTGGCCCTAGAGAAGTCATTAGTTCTCATATTACAGGATAGGTGGTTGTTAGTTGAGGATTATTGTTAGCCTAGAATCTATGCCTCAGCCCCAGAAGAGGAAAGACGCAGAATAGAATGCCATGTAGCCAGTATGTTCTGTTAAAGAACCTAGTGTTTTCTCTGTATTGGCATTGGTAGGCTGGGTTACTCTGTTCCTTACCCAGTTATAAGACATGAAATAGTTGAGTTGTAAGATGGGGGAAGAAAAGGGGTAATGAGTTATGGAAGAAAGTAGTTCATTTCTTCAGGTTCCCAGAGATGCTTATTTTAGTGAACATTCTTTTATGTATTAAGAGAAAAATGCATCCGTTATTACAAAGGTGTGAATATAGATATAGAAACATTTTCTGAGCTGGTTAACCATAATAACAAATGTTATGAGTCTTAAGAAAAATAACTCATGCTTATGCTACTGATACAGATGTTTATTATACTTTCAGAAATAACAGTAGTCTGGGAACCAGCAGTTAGCGTAATGGCTATGTTGCTGGATTCGCACGTAGTTGACCGCCGTTCGCGTTCCAGACCCAGTGGCTTAAAACTCATGCCGGGCATGTGTGCGTGCATGCTCAAGATCTCAAGAGGAGAATGGAGGAGAAGGGATTGCAGTGTGACCATCCCCCCTGGGGGGTGATTTCTCACTTTCTGTCTGTCTGTCTGGCGAGCGCATGCGCCCTATAGTGAAAATCTCTCCCCCCCCCCAAAAAAAAAGAAATAACAGTAGTCAGTGTTCATGTTAGATCGAATGAAATTTATACTCTTGTTTGGAAATTGTATGCCATACTCACTAGTCAGAATACTGCATATCCAGATCATGTCTGATAACTTGAGAATTGTTTTTATTTCTTCAGAAAAACAAGCTCTTAGGATATAATGTATTTATCTTAAATTTGCTAGCAAATACAAGGGAGCTTCAAATTGGGGAAAAAGGGAATTAAAGTACGAGTTTAAGTTGGTACAGAAATTCATGTGAAATTCATGCATAGTGTTTTCATGGTATGCATTTTCTGTGAAGTTTTTGAGGACCCCTTGTACATAATAATTGAAAAGTTACACAAGGTTTATATCATAGAACTGAGATCTACTGCAACTGGGGCCTACATCCAAAATGTTCCAGTAGTTTAAATGTGAAATCTCAAATTTATGTTATATGGCAAAACTTTTGGGTTGTTGGAAAAGTCATGACATTTTTTTTTTTCTGTGCAAAAATGCATCATGACTTTTCTGACAGCCCAACATGGTGAAGACAAAATTAATGTGTTCATGATTATAAGTCCAGTGTATCCTTTTTAGTTTGGATATTATGCCTTACATAATAATCCAAAAGCTTGTTTCACTGCTTTTCTCAGTAGTATGAAAATTATTCATCATGTCTTTTCATTTTCTTGTTAGAAGCCCTTCTTCCCACACCCTCCGTCCCCCGCCAGCAAGATCATGTGATTGCTGAAAAGAGGAGATGGGAAAATGAAAATACCCTCCTGAGGAATATTTATACCGTAGTACCTTCTCTACTCTTCCTTTTGGGATTTTGGGCATACATGTATACACACTGAGCATGTTTTCCAGGCCTCTAGTTCTGGGACTCAGCTGCATGGTTGGCCATTTGGGATTCAGCCATCTTTACTCTACCAAGGGTTGACCCAGAAATCCTTCTAAAGTGGCTCTCAATCAGCCATTCTGGTCTGTGATTTTATGATACAGGTATATAAAAAGGGGTTGTGAGTAAATACAAGAAACATGGTTTATTATTTGAAAAATGAGTAGGTATGTTATCTGTGTTTTTTTCTTCTCAGTTTATCAAACTGATGGTACATTTTATGGTGAGCATTTTGGATTGAGAGAATAAGATGCTAGCTTTAGTGAAAATAGGAAGATTAGTAAGTTATCTACCTTATTATAAAAGTAAATTAAAATGAAATAAAGAAAATTATCACTAAAGTCAGGTACCTTAGTCACTTGCAAGTTAAGTATGGGTTCTTTAAAAAAAAGGAGTGGCTATAGCTTGTTACCATGAATTACGCCTTAATGTGTTTTATGTGTGTCACCTGTTGGGTGTGTGAAGGTGGACGAAAGGTTGAAAAATGCTGCTCTATACTTTGGTGGGAAGATGGGGTGGGGATGGCTTCCTTTCATAGTACTTCTTAGGACATCTGTTAACCAAGGAATCCTGATCTCTCCCTTCTGCATTCCCAGGAAAGGAGGGAGTTTAAGATACAGAACTGAGTATACTAGCCCTCTTTTCCTTCTTCTCTTTATTTGTCTTGCCTGCAGAGAGCCTATGACGCGATCTCTTCTCAGCTGCATTGTGAACCTTGCAGTGAAGACTTCCTCTGCCAGGGGTGACCTGTGCTTGTGCAGGACTGCCCATACGTTGATGAGCAGGTCTGTGTTTTTCTGGATTCAATATTAGGTGGCCGTTATTACTACAAACCTAAATTATATCCTTTAACCCACTCCCTTTTCAGCAATAAATCTGATATATTGGATCTCCCCTTATTGGAAAGTTTGACAAAGAATAGTGCAGAGTATATTTCAAAGTAAAGATGAGATATATTAAAAATCAAATTCCGAACTTATTTCTAATTTTAGATGTTTTTACATCCTGGAAATCGTGGTGAAAATGAATAATACTGTTGGGTTGCCAGAAAAGTCATGATGCAGTTTTACATAGGAAAAAAAATGATAGAAAAAAAATATGACTTTTCCAACTACATGCAAAAATTTGGATAGTTAGACTTGGGATTGTGATAGACAACAATATTGATTATAACTTAATTGGAAGAGAAAAAAGTGAAACAAATTGTGATATCCTGTGGCCATCCCTATTAACTTTATAAATGAGTATAATTTAGATGTAACAAAATGCAAGTATTTAAAATTTATAGTTTAGAGAAGTGTACACCCACTAAAACCCTACTATGACGTAGAATACTATGTTCATTACCCCAAAAGTTTTTAAAACTCTTTGTAGTCAATTACCTTACACCCCAACCGTCCTAACCAACTAATAACATGTATGTGCTTTCTGTGACTATAAATTGGATTTGGCTTTTTGAAAATTCCAGAAAAGTCATATGGTATGAACTCTGACCTCTTTTTTGCCCAGCATAATGCTCTTGAAATCATCCATGGTGAGATTCATCTGTGTTATTGTGCATATCAGTAATACGATTCTTTTTATTGCAAAGTAGTATTCTATTGTATGGATATATTGCAATTGTTTCAGCTATTCAGCTACTGATAGACATTTAGGTTGTTTCAGGTTTTAGTCTTTTATGAATAAAGCTGCTATATACATAAATCACAATGCTGTGTGTGGTCATGTGCTTTCATTTCTTTTGGGTAAATACCTAGAGGTGGAATGCTGAGTTTTATGTCAAGTATATGTGTAACTGTAGAGAAAACTACAAACCTCAATTATATCCTTTAACCCACTCCCTTTTCAGCAATAAATCTGATATATTGGATCTCCCCTTATTGGAAAGTTTGACAAAGAATAGTGCAGAGTATATTTCAAAGTAAAGATGAGATATATTAAAAATCAAATTCCGAACTTATTTCTAATTTTAGATGTTTTTACATCCTGGAAATCGTGGTGAAAATGAATAATACTGTTGGGTTGCCAGAAAAGTCATGATGCAGTTTTACATAGGAAAAAAAATGATAGAAAAAAAATATGACTTTTCCAACTACATGCAAAAATTTGGATAGTTAGACTTGGGATTGTGATAGACAACAATATTGATTATAACTTAATTGGAAGAGAAAAAAGTGAAACAAATTGTGATATCCTGTGGCCATCCCTATTAACTTTATAAATGAGTATAATTTAGATGTAACAAAATGCAAGTATTTAAAATTTATAGTTTAGAGAAGTGTACACCCACTAAAACCCTACTATGACGTAGAATACTATGTTCATTACCCCAAAAGTTTTTAAAACTCTTTGTAGTCAATTACCTTACACCCCAACCGTCCTAACCAACTAATAACATGTATGTGCTTTCTGTGACTATAAATTGGATTTGGCTTTTTGAAAATTCCAGAAAAGTCATATGGTATGAACTCTGACCTCTTTTTTGCCCAGCATAATGCTCTTGAAATCATCCATGGTGAGATTCATCTGTGTTATTGTGCATATCAGTAATACGATTCTTTTTATTGCAAAGTAGTATTCTATTGTATGGATATATTGCAATTGTTTCAGCTATTCAGCTACTGATAGACATTTAGGTTGTTTCAGGTTTTAGTCTTTTATGAATAAAGCTGCTATATACATAAATCACAATGCTGTGTGTGGTCATGTGCTTTCATTTCTTTTGGGTAAATACCTAGAGGTGGAATGCTGAGTTTTATGTCAAGTATATGTGTAACTGTAGAGAAAACTGCCAAACTGTTTTCCAAAGTATTGTGTGGAACCCTTTTATGTCCCAGCCATCTGTATAAAAGAAGTTTTAAAATGAAAGAAGTGTATAAAAGAAGTTTTAGTTGCTTCATGTCCTTGTCTTTTTAATTTTAGCCATTTAAGTTCATATGGTATCTCATTATATGTGTTTTTAAAGTATATTTCCATGACATACTCTCACAGACATAGAAAGGCACCCCCAATAGGATCTCAATGCTGCAATCTATACCCTGCCCCCTGTCTTTATCAACCCAGATCATGGGTACATGTGTGCATGTCTGGAATGCACAGGGAGGCCCTCGGGATGTGAACCTGGGACATTCTCACGTCAGTCCAGCAACACAGAGCATTTGCATTACTCCTGGTCCACTGTCTGGCTTCTCAGTGTGATTTTAATGTGCATTTCCCTAATAAGGTTGAGCATCTTCTCCTAGGCTTATCTGACATCTGTATGTCTTTTGGGGATGTGCTTAATATTTTTCCCATTTTTTATATGGGTTATCTTAGTACTAAGTTGCAAGAATTTTAACTTATTACTAGATAAATATACATATATACATGTATCAATCTTTTTTTTTTCTCTGTGACTAGCTTCTGTGTTCTCTTAACAGTTCCTTTTACAGAGCAGAAGCTTATAATTTTGATGATGTACAATTTTTTTTTCCTTATGGTTGTGCTTTTGGTGTGCATGTTTAAGCCCCTGGAGCTAGGATTCATATCATGCACTTAGCCATGTCAGATACGACTCCCTTAACCACTAGACCACAGGCTGGTCCAAAATAAAATTTTTAAGTATTTCAATTTAAAAGGAACCAGAAGATAATCTGAAATAAACAAACAAACAAAAATCACATATATTTTCCAAAACTGAGGCTAGGGGACTCAGATTGAATGTATTTATTTATTATAATCTCCAAAGTAATTTCAGTTGGTACAACTGTTCCTTAAGACCATATCAGTATCAGGCTCAGGATTTAATTACAACCAAGCAATTCACAAAAACACTTGAAGCAACAAAACATGCTTAATAATTCCTTGAGAAAGGTCCTTCGAATCTGTGTACAGCATTACTGGGTGTTACACAATACTGTTAGGTGACCCTTAAGTGCCTACTTAAAGCTTAAGTTAGCCATATCCGAAGTCCTTCCACATCTCAAAATACTTGTCTTTCTCTTAAATTTTAAAGAATATTCTTGGTCTTTCTTTAAGAAAATAAAATACAATTTCAGGGAAAACAAGCTGCTTAGACTTTTCATATTATACACTTCAATTATGGGTTATTAAGGACTTTTAAAAATGGATGTTACATTTTAAAAAGTATCAGTTAGTGGGGACAAAAGTTGAAAATATTTACCAGCATTTTAGATTCTCTTGAAATCACAGTTTTCCAGATAAATAAATGTAATATCACTAAAAAAATTTTGCTATGCATTATGCATAGCCAGGAAAGAACTTTAATATTTTGGATTGTAGTTTCCACATCTTAAATAATATATTTTTATTATTTTGATAATACTAAATTCTTAAAATTTTTTTTTTATCTATTTTATAGATAATTAGTCTTACTGTGACTTTCCAACACCTTGGCCAGAACTTGTTTATGAAAAAAAGAATCTAACATCTTCAATTTCAGCTGGCTACACTGGGGGGAGAGGGCTTACCATAGTTTTATTATACCTTGTATTAACAATACACCTTCTCACAGAGAAGAAAATACTTTAAATACTTTAAATCATATTTACAACAATAAAAATTCACATTTCATGCTTTAGTGAGACACTTAAATCATCCATAAGGTAGTCCTCATAGTTTACTGAAATAGAGCCCTTCTGGAATCTGGGCCTCTGTTGTATGCCAGATATAAAGGTCTTATATGAAGATGTTATGAAAATAGCAAAACTTCTGCCATCCCCTCTTCCAGTAGAAAAACAGGGTAGATCTTCCCAGCCATGAAACTGTGACCACAATTCTGTGTCACAGCAGGGTGGCAACCAATGTGCTTCAGGCCCGTGGCTCCATGTGGTCAACTTGATTGTTTAAAAAGTGCTCAACAGCCAGGATGCTCTCCAGTGCGAGTCATAGGACAGAGATAGCCCTTCTGAGCACAGCTAACTACATCATTTATGTGTCTATTGCACGGGATTTTTTTAAGGTTCCAGAAACAGTGCTGTATTTCTTTCCTTAACTATATACATTTTTCTGATAAGTTCAGTGTTTCACTTGGAAATGTGACTTGCAAGGAGCTCCCTTTGGGGGCAGGCCCAACCCTGCTACTCCCGCCAGCCTCATCCACCAGTAAAACGCTCTCAGAGTCTTGACCCTGTGAGGAATCTGAGGTCTCTGATATTCGCAAAGTCCTCAGGGAGGTGGTGTCTGTTTGGACCAGTCCTGTTCCAGGCACTCCTGGAAGCAAATTCCTGCCTCCGAGGCCATTTTCACTGAGGTCTGGCAGGTAAAGGAGGGTCTGAGATGTGCTGCTGATCTCCTTCAGCTCCCTGGAGAGGAAGGAACGAGAGTGGCCAGACATGGCAGAAGAAGTCCTTCGACTGTCTGAGCAATGCTGTCCTGGACGGTCTCTGCGGGACCCACCAATGCGGCAGAAGAGGCATTTGATCTTCTCTATTGCTCTACTGAGCACTGTCTTGCGCAGGAGGATATATATCCAGGGGTCCAGGATGGGGTTCACAGAAGCAATTCGGATTGCCTGCAAGTCTGGGTTTTTGCTGATTTCTCGCTCCAAACTTGGCTGATATAACTGGTTGATGAAAACACGCACCTGCATAAATGAGATACCCACATTTAAATGTTGCCATTTACCAATTAGGAAAACACTTGAAAATGCTACATCTACCTCAGCAATATTAGATAGCTGCCCTCTCTCTGGTAATATGTTTCAGGAAAAAGCAAAACCAGTAATTGAAAAAATGCAATTATATTTATGTTTTCAGTTAGTGTAACTTTAAATATTTTTGTAACTATCTTTTGAGTATCTTCATTTAATTAACTTCATTTATGCTTTTAAAAGTGCTTTTTAAAGTTTCTATAATTACTTTTTTAAAGTTGTTTAATTATATTTGTTGTTATTATTTTTTAAAACTTGATCAGAGAGAGAGAGAAAGTGAGAAAGCAAGCCACCACTTCCGAGACTTGAATTGTGGTTGGCCATGGGAGTCCAGTGCCTTAACTACCACACCACTTGCCAGCCTAAAATTTCTATAATTCTAAGACATCTTGTCATTACTTTTCAAAAAGCCAAGAAATTTTGAATTCTGAAACATGTCTAGCCCTAACTGTTTTAGATAAGGGGTTATGGGTCTGTAAAATCTCATAGAATAAAATGGTCAGATGCTATAACCAAGATGAAACTAGTCTCTGGAAGATGGTTAAATAAAGAATCAACTAGGATAACAGTAGTATATGATATCTCAAAGTAATTTTAGAGATTTTGCTAAGATAAATGATGATTTGAGATGAAAAATTTGTTTTGTTTTCTTGTTTTTGTTCTTTACTAAAACTAGTAAAGCAAAGCATCTTTTTTTCTTTCTTCCATAAACTTTAGTGGAATTCTCAGCTATGCCTGAGAACTAAGAAGTTCCCTTGAGTCTCCAGGCCTTTGTTCAGATGAAGTGTGTGTTACTAAGACCCGGAGGTTCTGAGGGACTATCAAGCTTTCCCACCATGGTGGCTTAGTCTGGTCTGGGCCCGAGATTCTAAAAGACCTTCACACGGCTTTTTCTATTCTACCAGGCTGGCTTTCAGTTTAAGAATTATTTCCTGACAATGGGATTTTGGTGAAAAGGCAAGAGGTTTGCATTCTAATCACATCATATACTTCATTTCTTAGAGTAAAAAAAACAAAAAGATGAATTTGGATATCGTCCTGCTTGCCATCTCCAGATTTAGGGCAGGTTTTTGTGAACTTGAGACTTTAAGCCAGTAGGTGGCAGTGTTGCTCCACCTGGGAGTTTTGGATACTACAGTACTTACTCCCTAAGAAGCATTTTTACACAGCCATCTCCAAGAGGCTCTCAGGATAGAACCTCGGTTAAGTTTGAACTCTACATTTCTGAAAATTTTAACAATGAAATGTTGTTGCTGGTTGCTTCTCCCACTGCAACCTCAAAGGAAACATGGTACTTACTAAATTAAAATGGAATGAAATTTGCAGTTATTAAAGGAATGTATTAGGAGTTATTAACATTTTATTTTTAAATGTCCATGACTTTTTA